AAAAATGCAAACAAAAGTTTTATGAAACTAAAAAAAGGTTCTTTAAATTCTAGCTATAAAATTATGATTAAAGAATAAAAAAAATCACTGAATGGTGTGTTATTCCCATATCAGAGGGACTTTTAAAAGCTCTCTAATGTATGAATAATTGTTGACTTCTTTAAAAGCATTATTTCTTAAAATCTATATTCTTGATTTAGGAGAGTAAATATTAATTTGCATTAAATCTACCAGTTTTGTTTTGACTACAAAACAAAACAAAATTAGCCAGAATTTTATTTTATGCTCACTGTATGGAACAGGTAAATAAAGTCAAAACAAATTCTACAGATTCAAAAAACATTTCATTGATGCTTCCTTGGGAGAGAAACCCAGTTCTATTTCTCCTTAAGAGTATTCAAGGAATAGTAGACACTCTCATCTTAAAAAAGCCAAGTTCATGTTTTTTCTTCTAGGAGCACATAAAAACTCTTATATGAGTAATGTTAATTATTCGATTTGAAAGGCAGCATCATAAATGACTGTGATTCTTTTTTTTTTTTTTTTTTTTTTTTTTTAAATATATTTTATTGATTTTATACAGAGAGGAAGGGAGAGAGATAGAGAGCTGGAAACATCGATGAGAGAGAGTCATCGATCAGCTGCCTCTTGCACACCCCCTACTGGGGATATGCCCGCAACTAAGGTACATGCCTTTGACCGGAATCGAACCCGGGACCTTTCAGTCCCCAAGCCGACGCTCTATCCATTGAGCCAAACCGGTCCCGGCTGACTGTGATTCTTAAACAAGATTTGTATTTGTATAATAATGTAATGTTTACCAAAAGAGGAAACCTTTAACATCTTTCTACTCTTACACACTGGCTTACAGAGAAAAAACCCAAACATGCTTTCCATTCATCTCTAAAAGCAGTCTGGACATGTCAGGACCAGAGGTTTAGACTCCATGCTATATATCATGCTTGTTAATTTTTTAATACAAAAGCAGTCCATGGTTTAAAACATGAAAAATTCACACAATTTTTTATAAGTGTTCTGACATAGATCAGATATATTGGGGCAAGTAAGCATTCCCTAAAAGATAAATTGGGTCCTTTGGGGAAAAGATTAACTCATTCAATACTATAGCAAAATATGAATTATTTCTCGAGAACACTGGCACCATAAAAGAAATGTGCTTGGTATAGCACAGATGCCAAATCAAAAAAGCTGTAGAAAAAAGGATGTTATTCCCAGCCAAGGGCAGATCATGTTTATTTATACCTAAAATAATCCCACTTGCAAAAGAAAATCAATATATTATACAGGATTTCTACTTTTTAGAATTTAATTAAGAAATGTTATGTTGTTCAAATTAACCCATAGCCTCTAATGTAGATTTAGTTTTCAGGCTAGTATGTAATTGTGATCAGTAATTCCCTAATAATTAGAGAAAGGTAGCAAGGGTGGAAGATGGAGACTGCTGATGAAAACACCCATTGACCATGCATGGTATTGCAACCCAGTTCCATTGGGTTCCATCAGCATCCAATCAGAAGGCTGCTGGGCACAGACAAGTGCTGCCTTTGGAGTTTCAAAAATATAATCCAGGCCTTTGCAGAAAATGGGAGAAATTTGCAAGCCTCTGAGAAGAGGCATGTTTTAAAGAACATTAAAACATGATAGAAGGTCACAAATTTAATACAATAAAAACGAAAACAGCTGAATCATGCATCACACACATGCACACATATACTCATGCACACTTATCTGTAAGGTTCCATACTCTGTGTATCCTAGTGTTGGCATCTTTCTACTTTTCCAAACAATTATTTTTAATGCAGACTATATATTAGTATCACAGGGAACTTTTAAAACATACATTTCAGGGCACCCAATCCAGAATCATTAAATTTTACCCTCTTAGGGAAATAAAGGAGGGGCCCAGGAATTAGTATTTTCTTAAGCTCCGAGATGGGTGAGCAAACCACTCTCACATTTGCTTTAGCAATCACCACATGAGATCTCTTCCCTTTGAGAATCATTATCTCCAACTGTACTTAAGTTTTTGGTTTTCAAATAATTACTTTAAATAAATAAGTATTTACATATACAAATCAGATTTGAGAAATAATACATTTACAAACAGAAAATTTGTACACATGTAAATCTCTCTATATAAAAGCCTAAGTGACCATTAAGAATGAACAACTAGTCGACCACTCTCTATGATGTGCAATGACCACCGGGGGGCAGATGCTCAATGCAGGAGCTGCCCCTGGTGGTCAGTGCGCTCCCACAGAGAGTGTTACTCAGCCAGAGCCAGGCTCATGGCTGGCAAGCGCAACTGTGGCGGCAGGAGCCTCTCCTGCCTCCTTGGCAGTGCAACCAGGCAGAGGCAGCTGGGGCTCCTCCTCAGCACTGCTACATCCCTTGGGGATGTCAGACTGCTGGGTTTTGACCTGATCCTTGTAAGGCCTGCCTGCAGGGATCGGGCTGAAACCCAGCAGTTCAACATCCTCCCAAGGAGTCCTGAATTGCGAGAGGGCACAGGTCAGGTTGAGGGACCCCACCCATGCATGAATCTCTGCACCAGGCCTCTAGTTTGCTTATAAAAAGAAAATGTGTAGCTGAAACCATTTTGGCTCAGTGGATAGAACATGGACCTGAGGACTGAAAAGTCCCTGGTTCGATTCTGGTCAAGGGCATGTACCTTGGTTGTGGGCACATCCCCAGTAGGGGGTGTGCAGGCAGCAGCTGATCGATGTTTCTCTCTCATTGATGTTTCTAACTCTCTATTCCTCTCTCTTCCTCTCTCTTCCTTTTTATTGTAAAAAAAAACAATAAAATATATATTTTTAAATGTGTATATTTACATACATGGACTTTTGGCATGACAGGAAGAGCTTGCTAACATTTATTGCTTCTTATGAAGGGAATTAAATAGCTAAAGGACAGAGGGGACAGGTAGACTTTTCACTATGAATTCTTTTGTGCTTCATAAATTTTGACCCATGTTCATGTATTACCTATTAAAATTAATAAAAAGAAAATTTAGAATATATCATAAGTTCAGAAAAACAAGACAATAAAAATAACAACTATGGAGAAAATTTTGGGGACAACTGAGGAAATATGCTTATGGACTCTATATTAGATGATGGCGGAAAACAGTGTTAAATTTTTTGTGTGGAAACTGTGTTATAGTTTTATATGGTTCTTAGAAGACGCAACAGAATATTCAGGAGTGAAATGGCATGATGTTCACATTTGACTTCCAAACAACTCAGGAAAATAAAATTATATGCTGAGAGAAATAAAGTGTGGCAAAATTTTAATAACAGTGAATCTAGAAAAATAAATCCCATTGTATTGTACAATTTATTTTAGTAAAAGTTTTACTGGTATTTAATTCATATATGTAGCATACACCCTTTAAATTATAAAATTGAATAGTTTTAATATAGTCAGAGTTGTATATAATATAGTCAGAATTGTATATAAAGGTTCCTGGTTCGATTCTGGTCAAGGGCATGTACCTTGGTTGTGGGCACATCCCCAGTGCCATAGTAATCAGTTTAAGATAAGGATGAGAACACATCACTCCCATCTTCAAAAATCTTTCATGGTTCCCCATTACTTATCAACTATTCACTTATTAATTCAACAAACATCTTTTGAGCACCTGTATGTGCTAGGCTCTGTTCCAAGTGCTAAAGACAAAGAAACTGCCATGGAGCTCACATCCAAGTTGTGAGAAAAGAACACACACACCCTGAGCCAATAACAGTAATTTCAGATGACAAGAATGTGAAGAAAATAAATCAGGGGAACAGAAGAGTGACTAAGGGTAGGATAGAAGAGAAGGCTTCCCTGATATTTGAACTAAGACTTAACTGACTGAGTAGATAAGTAGGACAAGAGGAAGAGAGACCAGCAGGTACCTCACTCCGAGGCCCTTCAGGATTCTGAACTCACCTTCTCATCTCAAAGCATCTTCTTTCCTACCTTTGCTTTCAAAACCCTACCTGCCCTTAAAAGTCATCTGTGATTCTACCCTGTTTCCCCGAAAATAAGACAGTGTCTTATATTAATTTTTTCTCCCAAAGTTGCGCTAGGTCTTATTTTCAGGGGATGTCTTTATTTTCGGGAAAACACGGTACATATTCCTTGAAATCTCTTTTAATCCCCCCACTTTGCCTCCATTCCCCAGACCATTAATCAAATAAGTATTATCCTTCATTTGGGAATACAAGTTAACATATTTACCTTTCTCTTTTAGGCAAGCCATATAGGAAGTCATATATCCGAAAGAGGGGTATCCTTCAAAGTAATCACTAAGCCAAGAGCAATTATACAAGAGTTTCTAACACATGTTATGTAGTAGGTACATGAGAGGAATAAGTAACTCACCAAGGTGATTACTTTGAAAGGGCATTTATTCAAATAGTGGTTTGTTAAAGAATCCCATTATTTTATAGATAACTAGAGGCCCAATACATGAATTAAGCAAAGGTGGGGTCCGGCTGGCAGGGGAGAGGGGACATGGGAGGTTGGCTGGCCAGCCCTGCCCCTGTTGGGGTGGGGGAACTGATCAGGGCAGGGTCAACCAGGAGGAGGGGCTGCAAGAGGTTGGCCGGCCAGCCCCACCCTCTGGTTGAACTCCTAGTTGAACTCCTGGTCGAAGGGACAATTTGCCTATTAGCCTTCTATTATAACGGATTCTTTTTTAGTTGTATAAACTCTTTTTATAATACATCTTTTAAGATTTATTTCATTATTGGTCTTTCACTATTGCTTAGAGAAGTGTCCATCCAGGATGGTGTTAACTAAGCCCAAAGAAGGTGCCAAATGCATATTTGTCAATTATTTAATCTATACAAAAATGCAGTAGAGCTATTCTCCTTTTGTGTTTTTTTTTATCAGAGATCTTTTTAAGAGTTTGAGGGAAAACTGAGGGTCTGCGTGGGGTCCAGAGGCTGCCACATCCCATCCCTCCCTCCTTCTTCACCTACACTGACCTGGAGCTGTATTTCTTGAGGATGGTGTCTAAAAGGCCAACGAGCTCTTCAGCATTGATGAACTTCTGTGTGCTGAGGGTGTACATCTTCTCATAGAAGTCCGCAATCTCCATCCGCGCCTGAACGAAGAAGCAGAGCTGCTCTGACAGGTGGGAAAGGAGTTCTTCCACGTGAGGAGCGGTCCCTCCCAGGCTGCCACGGCCCGTCACCACCTTCTTCAGCTCGTTATGCAGGGAAGTATAGATAGTGCGGATGGAGTCCTTCCTGCTGAAGAAAGACTGGCCCCCTGGTAGGCAAATGACATAAGCACATGACAGGTAAGGAAGAGAAAGCCGAAGTACAAAATACCTCTCAGCATTCAAAAGGAAAGGATCTGAACTGCTGAGCTCAGTGAGTTTACATCTACCATATTCTCTAACTTTTATGCGTGGGATTTAAATATTTTGAGGTTGATAATTTCATTGAAGAGTAATAAGTAAAATGAATGCCTGGTACCACTCATTAGTGTAGCAAAGAACCTATGATTGGTTTCCTTACCCACACACCAATTCCCAACCACCCCACTTTAATGAGGATTCAGATTCATCTCAGAGAATAATTATCCTAGATCTAAAAAGCCCTCCTTCCACATATAATAAATATATTTGAAACAAATGAGAACACCCAATTATGAAAAACTGTTGTTATTCCTAGTAAATCAGCAAATTTTATTTCTGCTTTAGAGTTATATTTTCCTCTGCATCTCATCTTCTAATCTTATCTTTCAAACCAGAGAATGGAAAATACACATAGATCTCCCTCATATAAGAACACAGACTACTGGCCCTCAGGGGAAAAAAGAACAGCTTAGTACTCTTAACAAAGTTGACAATATAGGTTTTAATAAGCAGCATGTTGTGAATTACTAAGAGCAATAAGCAATTATAAATAACTGCTACTGTAACTCAGGGGTTCCAAAGGAAATCAGCAAAATATAAGACCAAATATATCCTTTCAACAACCAAAAAGGATCAAATGGCATAGATAAAATTTCCTTACTTCTATATTAATACATAATCAACTATATTTCTGAAAATTATAAAGCCAGCTTCACAAATGTTGCCTTAAGCAATTCTGCTAACCATCAAAGGGTCAGAAGCAAGACATTAGGAAAATGAAGAGAAACAGGACAAGTTTAAAACTGCAATTCTTAGGAAATATAAAAAAAACTCAGAAATGGGTGATGTTTTAAATTTTCTATTGATATACACAAAAGGTTTTTATGTGTGAATTTATTACTATTCTAAGATATCAGGAGTGAAAATTATATACCAAGGCAGTTGTAAAAATATCCTCTTAATGAATGAAAGATTTCACAAAGTTGTTTTTAATTCATTATCCAGTTTTATGATTTAAGAAATGAATCTGGGCTTCTAGTCAAGAAGGTGGTGTAGGTAAATGTATTATTGTATCCTCCCACAACCACATCAAAATTACAACTAAACTACAGAACAACCATCATTTAGAACCACCGGAATTTCACAGAACTAAGAATATAAAGGAGACACCACACTAAGATGGGTAGGAGGGACAGAGTCCAGGCTGGTCCCACACTCACAGGTGCTGGATAAAAATCAGGCGGGATATCTCAGCTGCAGAGATCTCCCCTGAGGAGCGAGGAGTCCCAGCTTCACACCATGCTCACCAGCCCAGGGTTCCAGTGCCAGGAAGGGAGGTCCCCATACTTTCTGATTGTAAAAACCAGCAGGGATTGAGGCTGAGGGTGTACATCTTGAGAAAGAAGGTTGCTGGAGTCCCAGGCAGTTCCTCTTAAAGAGCCCTCTCACAGACTTGGACTCACTCTCTCTGAGTTCTACCCCTGGGGCAGCATCTGGAAAGGCACCAGGAATATACGAGGAGAAACTAAAGGGGCAACTTTCTCCCAGAGACAATGGCCTCTCTGGCAGAGGCCATTGTTTATTTTCTGAGCCCTCCCTCATCAAAACCAGCAGGAGGGTGCCATATCTGAGTCTCCATCAACCTTGCTCACACTGTTCGCCTGGTCCTAGTGATTCCCTGAGATTCTCCCCCACCCAAGCTGTTTCCAGTGACTTTTCCATATGGCCTGTCTTGGCTCAGGCTTTAGACTTTCCTATATAATCTCGCAAAACAGCATCTGGCCTCAGTCTGCCCCATACCTCTCACTAAGTGGCTCTGGGCCCAGTGCTAGCAGCAGCTGTCCTTGTTCATACTTGGCCTTGCCTGCACACCTCCAAGCCCAGCACTAGTAGCAGCCATCTGCAGATGGCTTTGTAGCTCATGCTGGATGGTCCCTGGCAGAACTCAGGCAGCAATTGACCTTGGCTTGCAACTCCAGGGAGGCTCCACACCCAGTGGACAGCTTCAGACCACATTGAAACACCATCCACAAGCATCACACTCAAGGGGCAGACTCAGCAGATGCCAAAGGTAAGCTCTGATCTATGAAGTGGGCCCTTGCACAGCTGATCCTCTACAGGGGTGAGTTGATCAAAGCCAGTCCTTGCAGCTGACTGGCCTGGGGGTAAATCCCTCCCGTTGATGGGGGGTGGGGGTAGGAGGACACACACTGTGAATGCCCACCTTGGTTGAACACAGAAAAATGAAGTTTCATGACAGTGAAAATGTAAAAAAACAAGTGATGAGCCCTTGGCCAGGTTATTGTTTTTGATGACCCTTAAATCTACTTTAACTCTCCTTTTATCAGAAGACAAAACAGAAGGATTCTGAATTGGAAAAATAGTTTAAGTCCCAGAATGCTATTAGTTGAAGGTGAGGATGTGGGTGGATATTAAATCACTTTTTTAGGCCTATGGTATTTTATCTCCTCTCCCCTCAAAAAAAGGAAAGGAAAGGAAAGGAAAGAAAAGGAAGGCAGAAAGAAAGAATAAATGAATCTTATAGCCCTTACTACTATGGTAACCACCTTGTCCCAGTTTATCCATGACTTTCCAGATTTTAGCACTGAAAATGTTATTCTTGATAAATACTTCCTTAATCCCATGACCAAGGAACCCCATCAGTCCTAGGCAAATCTAGAAGGCTGGTCACCCTATTTACTATTAGTTCCACAAACAACTAGCACTTAAAAACCATCTTCTCCAATTTATTGCTTAAACAGACTGACTAACATTCACATCATTTCTCCTAACACCAGCAAAATCCATAGGTACAGGTGGATTGAACCAGACACCAACATCCCATTCAGGACTGTACCTTGGAGGGTTTGCCTTCCTTCCATGCCCACACTTAGTTCAGCTTTGCAGATTTTGTAAAGTGACGGTACAGAATAAAGGGACCTCTGTGCCAAGGTCTAGGACAAAATTTCTTAGGTTAGGAAGGTAATAAGAATATCATGTAAGACCTAAAAGCTCTGACGGTCTGACCAACTTGGTCCTAAATCCCAGCTTCCATACGTGAAAGCTGTGTGATGTGGGAATGACTTAGCTACTTTGAGCCTTGCCTATTGTTTTAAAACGCAAAATTAGTAATAAAGCTGCTAAGAAGGTAAATTAAGTAACATTTGGTATATAATGTATTTAATATATATTTAATTATGCTAACCTCTTTCCCTTCCACTTATAACTGATATAAGAAAACGCTCAATACTGCATAATTGGGCCTCTGAAACTCTATGGTAAATTGGGAGTTTCAAGTCCTGTAAAAAGAATAGCTATCTATTTGACAGAGCTAGGTGACCTCAACACTGCACTCACTCCCAGTGTTAAACAGTGTGGCCTTCTTTCATCAGATTATCCTTACCTAGCGGAGTTAAGCATGACATGAAAACAAAGAATATCTTTAAAAGCTTATCAATAAACATAAATTACTAATATGTGAAAACCAGTAAAGTAACACTTATAAAGAAGGGACAGACCACCAATGCCATTTCTTTATCCAGCCCTTTCTTCTCAAAGCTCTCCGGAGCACAATCCTATTTATTGACTAGCCTGGTTAGGAATATCCAATGAGGATTAGCCTTCCAGAGACACCAGAATTCTTTCTCTTTTCAATTTTTTTAATTTACAAAAGATGAATATTTTAATGTATGAGTGCTCATTATTCCTCAAAATTTCAACAGTCTATCTCCCACATGAAATTTCAGGGTATAAGTAAATTTCAAGGCGCATGTAAAACACCTAATTGGGTATTTTATTCTACAACTTCTTAATAATTTTTAAATGTCAGTTCTCAAGTTAAGTAATTTTCTACCACACTAAATTCCAGCAACCAGAGGTTGAGGAAACTCCAGTAATGAAACGAAGGGGACAAAAGTATGACTTTCTATAATCCTCCACAAGCACTGATCCTTCCCCAAACAGACATACTCCCTTGAAAGGGAAGAGAAGGCTCCAAGATAAGGGCTCCACCCAGAGTTTTTCACAAGTGAGCCAAGGCCAGAACAGAAAGCTCCCGGTCGGGTCTGTCCTTTGTCCAAAAGACATCTATAAGCAGGATTCACTGCTAAGGTCGCCAATAAACCAGTTACAGAGCGAGGTCAAAAGGACTCACTTTTTCTGAACCATGTTTTAAAAATACATATAAACTTTTTGTTTTGCTTTTTAAAGAAAACCATAGAGCCCTAGCTGGTTTGGCTCAGGGCATAGAGCAACAGCCAGTGAACTGAAGAGTCCCGGGTTCAATTCTGGTCAAGCCTGGGTTTCGGGTGTGGGGCATGCCGATCAATGAGTCTCTCATCATTGATGTTTCTATCTCTTTCTCCCTCTCTGAAATCAATAAAAATATATATTGATTAGCAAAGTAGTTAAAGAACATGAGAATGTATCAAATGGCAACACAATTTTTTTAAGAAAATGGAGAGTTGGGGATATACAGATGGCCAGGAGACATAGGAAAAAATGCTCAACAGTCATTGATCATCAAAGAGATGCAAATTAAAACAACAGTGAAGTATCACCTCCCACCCATAAGAATGGCTACCATCAACAAATGACAAGCGCTGACGAGAATGTGCAGAAAAGCTAAGATCTGGAAACAGTCCATGTGTCCATCAGTAGATGAGTGGATAAAAAAGTTGTGGTATTTAATGGAATACTATGCAGCAGTAAGAAGAAGGCTCTCTTACCCTTTGAGACAGCAAGGAGGAACCTGGAGAGTATTATGCTAAGTGAAATAAGCCAATCAGAGAAAGATAAGTATCTTATGATCTCATTCATATGTGTAATCTAATGAATGAATTAAACTGATGAACCAAACAGATCCAGAGGCAGAGAAGCATAGAATAGACTGTAGAATCTCAGAGGGGAGGGGAGGGAGGGTGGGTAGATGGGAAGATACCAACCGAAGAACTTGTTGCATGCATATATGCATAAACCATGGACATAGACAATAGGGCGGTGAAGGGGCGACGGGGGGTGGGGGGGGTGGTGGTGGTGGTGGTGGTGGTGGTGGTGCTAGAAGAGGTCAATGGGGGAAACAAGGGGACATATATAATTCTTTCAACCATAAAGATTAAAAGAAAATGGAGAGTCAACCCAATAATCATGAAATCGTACTGTTTAAGCATGTTGACATCACAAACATTCCAATACTAAAAAACTGTAAGGTATTTACAAAGTTAAAATTGACATCTGGAACCTACACATTTACCATACAAGTGAATAAAAGTGACAGGTCACCTGGGAGGCTGAACAGTGCCTGGCCATGCTTCCCAGTATAAAATGCTCTGTGGGTCAATTTCAAGGCATAGTGCTCAAGCTCAGCCATGCAAGGTGGGCGGGGTGCACGCAGAGCCAATCACAGAATATGGCCTATTTCACAGAACCCAAGCTGGAGACAATGATGGTCTTCCCAAGATCTTATACACAGGACAGCCAGTTCGTTTACCTAAAACCAGGCACATACAACTTAACTAGAGTAGCAAACTTTTTAAATAGGGGTGCATAAATAGGCTTTAGGAAATCTAACTGAATTCTCTCAGATTATATACAAAATTGTATTACATATATTATTTTTCTGGGGAATAAGTCCACAGATTTAATGAAATTCTCATAGATAAGCTTAGAAAATTAAGAATCATGGCATTGGGGTCAATCTCCACACTTCGTGAAGAGGATCTATAAATAATAAAATTGCCAGAAAATTACCTACCTTCAATGTTACAGTCAAAATCTTCCCCATTTACATATATATGTAAATCATAATACATGTAAAATTTTTAAATAAATCATGGATACAAATACAATCTGACAGTTTAAAAGCAGGTATCCTATCACCTACTCACACAACTGCATATACACAATTTGCCAATATGTAAAAAAGGGGATTAATAAAACTGCAACAGCAATTGAAATCTGTAAGAAGTACCACTGTAAAAAGGGAAAGAAAAAATGTACAAGGTGAAACTAACCAGTTTTTGCCAATGAGTTGACATACCAAATAAGTTATTATTTGAATAGCTAAGGCAGAAGTTAAGATCTCAGAAAGACTTGCTTCTTTACTGTTAACTGAAAGTAAGATGTACATCATGGGCACCTTCAGGCAATATAAGGAAACTGGGGGTGGAGGGGAATCAAATGGAATCTGCACTCATTTCTATTCTATATTTATGTGTCCTCTGTTCATTCCAAAACCTGTGCCTCTGACAATTAAATGGTCTAAAATAGGCCAAAGAACTAAAACAACTCTAAAAGCTCCGTGATTCATATTCATTATTGATAATTATAAGTAGTAATACCTTGTATGCATAGGCCTTGGCTTTTACATATATTACTTCCTTCTGATCTACTTATATTGTTTCTGCTCGTTTAAACGAATTGAATGTGCTCTTGCATCTTATTTTCAGGGGTGAGATTTTATCATGAGATGACAAGAGTGTTTACTATTTTCCCTGTAAATCCCCTCTTGCTAAGTTAGTGTTAGGCATATTTCTTGCCTTTCCGGCCCAGTATTCATTTACTTCTTCGTTCATTAAATATTTATTGAGGGACTACGAAAAGAGAGGAGGCCTCCACCTGTCACTCTCATGGGCCTTAACCTTAATAAGCCAGACAATTGTGTTCATTAACTTTAACTAGGTTGGTATTAGCCACTTTTTGTTCCTCTGGCGGCAGTGTCACTGCTTAGAAGAGCGAGGACAGAGTTTGCTTAACTTCTCACTTATGGCACCAATCCATGCACTGGGCAAAACAGATACATCCATCGGTCTGGGACTCAGCCTGGCAAAAAGCATCCTCCCCATCCGCCAATCTATCCGCAGCGGCGGCCGGTGGGCGGGGTTTGTGGCAGCAGAGGGAGGGAAGGAAGGGGGCCGTGGGAGGAGATCTGGGAGCGCCGAGGAGGACCTGCAACTAGAGGAGTGACAGACACGGGGAACCCTAGGCACTGCGGACAGGGGACTAGACCCCCTTTCCTTCCTCCTCAAGGGTCACGGGGGGAAGCGGGGCGGAGGTACCTAGTTTCTGCCCCAGGTAGGTGAGGCCGTGATAGACCTTCTCGGCTGCGGCCAGGTGGGCCAAGGCTGCCAGCAGCGACAGCCAGCTGCCCCCCGCGCTCTTGTTGGCCTCTCGCTCCTTCTCCACATTGTCCTTGGCCTTGTCGTAAGAGAAGACGCCCAGGTGAGAGAAGAACGTCTCCAGCACAGCCTGTTCCACCGGGACCGGGGCCGCCAGCGGGATAGACTCCCCCATGCGAGCCGCGCTCCAGCTCCACCCACGTGGCTCGGCTCTCCCTCGCACTTCCGGGTTCTCCAGCGACGTGCGCGCCGCGCGTGCGTGCGTGCGCGTCGCCGCCGCGAGCGGCGGGCTGGGGCGCGCGCTGCCGCCGGGGCCGCGCCTGGGCCTCGGAGGGCGCGGGTGAGGGCCCGGGAAGGAGGCGGCGGCCCCTCAGCTCCTGAGCAGCTCCGGTGCTTCAGGCCGCGCAGCTCTGAGAATTCGGACCCTCGGGTCAGAGCGCGAAGTGCCCAACTCGCGGCTCCGCGGAGCTGACCGCGTTCCGAGGTGAGCTGAGGAGGCCCCTCCCGGGACACCGCGTCAGTGTTGGTGACGTCACGTTTGCATGACGTCAGTGGTCCCTGCCCTAGCATCTGGCCTGGGTTCTGGGGGGGGGTCTCAAGGGCGGGGCGAGGTTGTGAAGCTGGTGGCTGGAAATGTGCTCACTCCCAGGCAGTCCTCATAGCTTTTAAACCAACTCACGTAAGTGGTTTGCAGATTAGAAGATTTATATCTTTTTAAAAAATATTTTTTATTGATTTTTTTTACAAAGAGGAAGGGAGAGGGATAGAGAATTAGAAACGTCGATGGGAGAGAATCACTGACCAGCTGCCTCCTGCACACACACTCCTCCCCCCATATGCCCACAACCAAGGTACATGCCCTTGACCTGAATCCAACCAGGGACCTTTCAGTCCGCAGGCCAACGCTCTATCCACTGAGCTAAACTGGTTTCGGCTAGAAGGTTTATATCTTATAACTATGTCTGATTTTCACCCAATCACAAACCATGGGTTAATTGCCACCTGCATCCCGTTCTAGTCATCGGAGGTTGTGCTAACAGCTTCCAAGCAGAGCTTCTCTTCAGCTTGCCCATACTACCCAAACTGCATTAGGCTTCCTTAGGAAGGTCTCGGAATGGATAGTAAATTAATGTAACGTCTGTGGAAAGATCTGAACTGGTGCACTTTGTCATTCAGGTTAATTGCAGATTCCTTTGACATTTAACGAACACCATACATCCAGCCTATAGGCTCACTGCTCACTACCTTCGTTTTTTTCCTTTCTCCTTCTTTGTACATGCTTTTTTAATGCTACTTCATCACACTATAGTTTTGCATGTCTCTTCTCCCTTTTAAGTGATAAACCCCCTAAGGCAGAATATAGGGTTCACTCATCTTTATTATCTTTTCATTAAGGATAATAAATACAGTGATGTTTATTGAACAAATGAGGGAATTTTCCATTTTGATTTTTTTTCAAATTAAAGCTATTTTTCCATTACTATAAACCATTTGACAATTCAGTGTTTAATGCAAATCCCATAGCTTAATTTTTTTAATATATTTTATTGATTTTTACAGAGAGGAGGAGAGAGTGATAGAGAGTTAGAAACATCGATGAGAGAGAATCATCGATCAGCTGCCTCTTGCACACCCCCTACTGGGGATATGCCCACAACCAAGGTACATGCCCTTGACCGGAATCGAACCCAGGACCTTTCAGTCCCCAGACCAATGCTCTATCCATTGAGCCAAACCGGTTTCTGCCCATAGCTTAATTTTAATGAATATATAGTACACTTATTCCCTGCTCTCAAGAATATAATTGGATATGATCAACTCTGTTAACTGTGATACAAGGCAGAATTTTATATGTTATAAAGGTGAAAAAGGAGGCAGCAATCATTGGGGGGCAGGTGGGAGGAGAGAGAATGGAGGTTTCCTAGAAGGGAATATGATGGTCTTTTTTTTTTTTTTTTTTCCTTAATTTTTATTGTTCATATTATTACAAATGTCCCTTCCCCCCCTTTCCCACCCCACCCTCTGCCCTTCCCCCCCCCCATTGTCCTCATCCATAGGTGCACAGTTTATGTTCAGTCTCTTCCCACATCCCCCTCTCCCCTTTTCCCCAAGAATCATCAGTTCACTCCCCTTCCATACCTCTGATTCTATTATGTTGAACAGTTAATATTGTTCATTAGATTTTTTTTTAATTTCCTTGGTTTTTAGATTCACTTGTTGACAGTTACGAATTTGTTGTTCATAATTTTTATCTTTATTTACTTTCTCTTCTGAAAGAACCCCCTTCAGCAATTCATATAATTCTGGTTTGGTGTTGATGAACTCCTTTAGCTTTTTTTTATTAGTGAAGCTCTTTATCTGACCTTCGAATCTGAGTGATAGCTTTGCTGGATAGATTATCTTTGGCTGTAGGTTCTTACTATTCATCACCTTGAATATTTCTTGCCATTCCCTTCTGGCCTGCATGGTTTCTGTTGAGAAGTCAGCTGACAATCGTATAGGTGCTCCTTTATAGGTAACTACCTGCTTAGCTCTTGCTGCTTTTAATATTTTCTCTTTGTCTTTTGCTCTTGGAATCTTAATTATGATTTGTCTTGGTGTGGTCCTCTTTGGATTCCTTTTATTTGGAGTTCTGTGTGCTTCCTGGACTTGTAAGTCCAATTCTTTCCCCAGGTGGGGGAAGTTTTCTGTCACTATTTCTTTCAATATGTTTTCGATATCTTGCTCTCTCTCATCTTCTGGGACCCCCATAATTCTGATGTTGGATCGTTTGAAGTTGTCCCAGAGGTTTCTTACATCATCTTCAATTTTCTGGATTCTCTTGCCTTCTAGCTTCTGCAGAGGAGTATCTTCTGGCTCTTTATGTTTCAAATCTTTGACTTGATTCTCAATTTTCTGGATTCTCTTGCCTTCTAGCTTCTGCAGAGGAGTATCTTCTGGCTCTTTATGTTCCAAATCTTTGACTTGATTCTTGCGATCTTCTATTCTGTTTTTAGGACTCTGTATAATAGTTTTTATTTCAGACAATGTATTCTTTATTTCTTGTTGATCCCTTTTCATATCCTCATAAGTCTCATTTATTTTATCGGCCTTTTCTAGGAAACTCTTGAAAAACCTTATAAGTGTGGTTTTGAACTCTATATCCAGTTGCTTTTTGTCCTCCATTTCTTTCGTTTGTGATCTATTTGGTTTAGGCATTTTCGCAGGCAGCTTTCCTGATGGGGCGGGGTTTCAGGGTGGAGCCTACAGCTTTGGCTTCCGTCAGCCCTGCCCTATGCGACTCCTGAGACTCGGGGTCCTTCAGTACTTGTTGTAAGCGCCTCTGAGAGAAAGGCGCCCTCGATTTTCGCCTGCTGCCAAACAGTCAATGCTCTCCCGCACTGAGCCCGGAACTGGGGTTCAGTTCAGTTGGAAGTGGAGTTGGAAGTGGCGTTCAGAGCAGACTGGAGCCCCTGTCTCCTTCCCGCCAGGCACTCCTGCGGCACAGCCGGCCGTCCCTTCTCTGCGCGGCGCCGCCGCCGCCGGGACCTCCTTTCGCCTCTTCCCCGGGTTCCGCCTTTCAGCCCGGCTCCCTCTGTGTGAGCCTGGGTCCCCGGGGTCTGGCCTAGGCCTGGGGTTCAGAGCAGTCAGAATGGGGGCCAGCACAGTCGGAGCGTTTATCTCCTTCCCGCCAGGGAACGCCCGCCAGGCACTCCGCCGCCCTCCTCTCCTGCTCCGTCCTCTCCGCGCGCCGCGTGTCTCCGTACCTTAGGCTTTTCCAGCTCCTCCGCGCTTCCTTCTGGTTATCTCCTTGCTTCTTGTTGTAGAATTTCCAGTCAGTCGACTTTCCTGTAGTTCTGGGTGATGTCCATTTTATATTTTAGTTGTATTTTATTAAAATTGTTGCGTGCGGCTGCGGCTAGGTGCCTACCCGAGCAGCCATCTTGGATTCTCTCTCGAATATGATGGTCTTAATAGTAGAAGCCAGTAATAAAAAATTTAAAAAGGTATACTACTAGCACAAAAACCCACAGGCAATGAAAGAGTTATAAAGCTCATAAGCATACCCAAGTAATATAAGAATTCCTCAGATAGTAAAGGTGGCATCATAAATCAGTGGGGAAAGAAAAATTGATTCAATTAATAGTGAAGAAGACATGATTATGAAAAAGAAAACTTTACCCTGCATTCTGCAATGAAAAATAATTACATGTTTAAAAAAACAAAACCGAAAATTACAAAAAATAAAATTGAAAATTTAATTGATCTAGGGATACAAAAGAACTTTTTATTTATAAAAATTGGAAGAAATTACAAAGGAAGAGATTGGCCTGACTATATAAAAATATCAAGAAAATGCTATATACTAGCCCTGCCAGTGTGGCTCAGTTGGTTGAGCATCATCCTGTGCACTATAAGGTTACAGGTTTCATTCCCAGTCAGGGCACATGCCCAGGTTTGAGGTTTAGTCCCAGTAAATGGGAGGCAGCCAAATGATCAATGTTTCTCACATTGATGTTCCTCTCTCTCTTTCTCTCTCTCTCTCCCTCTCTCTCTCTCTCTTTCTCTCTCTCTCCCATTTCCTCTCCCTTTCACTCTCTCTAAAAAAATAAACAAAAGCAATAAAAACTATTTTTTAATGCTATACCAACTTGGGAGAAAATATTTGTATCACTTCAGACAAATGTTTAATATGCTCAACATATTAAGATCTAGTGATCATAGCAGATTAAACTATTCTATTTTTCACCTATCAGATTTTTTAAAACTTTCTTATAAGTGCTGATAAACATGCAGTGAGTCTGTACTTATCTATTGCAGATGGTGTGTAACTTCATCTGAACTTTCTGGAAAACATTTGACAATACAGTATTTATTAAGATTAAATGAGTGTACATATACGGTGTCTAGAACAGTATTTAGGACAAAGTAGATGTCCTAAATAAGTATCAGTAATACCTATCATTGTTACTATTATTGTCAGTAGTATTGTATCTTTTAATCTACAGAGCACCTAGAATAAGACTTTGAACTTAATGGATGTTTGCTAAATATTTGATTGGCTGATTCTTCTTTCTCCTAAGAATTTTATAGGAAAAGATATACAGTTTATGACATGTCAAATTGTTAAAACATTAAAGTTATAAAGCAAGAAGTTACCTTGAATGATCATATGGTTCAGCCCATAAGCAGGAT